TGCATGGGACCTTTGGTACAACATTTGCTACCCAGAAAATCTCTAGTTGTAGATAATGATATTAGGCTAGGTCTATACTACCCGCCTGAATCGGCGGGTAGAAATCGACCTCTCGGGGATCGATTTATCGCGTCCCGTCGGGACACGACAATCGATCCCCGAATCGGCGCTCTTACTCCACCAGCGGAGGTGGGAGTAAGCGCCGCCGACAAAAAGCCGCAGAAGTCGATTTTGCCGCCGTCCTCACAGCGGGGTAAGTCGGCTGCGATACGTCGAATTCAGCTACGCTATTCACGTAGCTGAATTTGCGTATCTTAAATCGACTCCCCCCTGTAGTGTAGATGTACCCTTAAACTCTGTTGTATCTTTGCATAGCCTGTATTGGTGTTTGAAGAAAACACACCAGTTACCAAATGTCTATCTGCTTGCAATAGAACTGATAGATTTGGAACAGAGACTGTCTGTTAATTCCGTGCCTGGACACACCCAGCACAATGGGGCCATCTCTATCTTTGATACTTATATGGCCCCATTACTGGGGTATTGATGCACCCCACATTCTTTAAGGTTTAATCCTCACATCACCTCTATGAGTGCTTTTATCTTCAATTTACAGATGGGGAACTGAAAGGCTAAGGTCACACAGGACATCTCTGGAAGAGCAGGGACTTGAACCCAGGTTTCCCAAGTCCTCACCTAGTTTCCCAAGTTCTCACCACAACCCTCCTTCACATGCCCTGGACCTTGAGTAGTGCCTGGGTACTATTGCTTTATAAATTATAGTGTTACCTGCACAGTCTAGGGCACCCACCTTTACCCAGTTCCTAGGGCTCAAGGCGTAACCCGGTTAATTTAAGCACTCCAACCCTTTCCCTGTTCCTAGGGCTCCAGGGGAAAGGCACCTACCCATACCCAGTTCCTAGGGCTCAGGGCATAATCTTTTCTGGGTTTATGGGGTCTTTTACCACTGAAAGAGCCTTACACAGTAATATCCTTAATCTCTGTTTATTAACAGTCACTAAAACAGAATACACACACCAAGCATACAGGGCTCACCACTCCCAACAAGGCAAATGAACTTTTCCTGCTGGCCAGTCAGGATCAGGTCATCTGGGAACTCCAGCTTCTGCATGGTGTGGATTGGCAGAGTGTTGAGGTCTGGCAGCTCTGATCTTGGGGCTGTGTCCTGGAGTTGGTTCCAAAGAAATTTCTTTTGGATCCCAGTTTATATAGTGAAACTTGAGTCCTGCTTAGCTATACCGTAACCAGTTGTTTTACTAAAGTATTACAAAATAATTCTTTGATCAATCCTAACATATTGCAAAACAATTCTTTAACCAATCAGACTCCACCACCTTAGTTGATTTAAATCTTACAAAATTAGTTATGCAACAAACAAAAACAATCAAAGAACCAGACAGAGACCATACAGATAAACAATAGAGAAGTAGGGACAATACATAAAGACAATACAATAGAAGTATTGATTTCAAAATCACAACTGTTGATAAGTGATTCCTTGCCAGAGAGAATGCTATCAAGCAAAGTTTTCTTAAAGCATCTTAAAGAGATCCCTTGCTTATCCGGTGATGGTGGGTACTGTTAGGAGGGGCACCTTCTTAGCAGCCTGATATTATATTGTTTTGATATAATTTAGAAGGAATGTGAGGATGTGACTTTCTGCTTCTTGGCTTATGGCTGCTGTTCAGAAGTGATTACTGCTCTGATTCTTAAAATCTTTGAATTTTCAGGTGGATTGGAGCAAATTCGTTGTGGTGAATGGAGCAACAGCCCATCCACATTATGAGCCTGATGGGACAGCATACAACATGGGCAACTCTTATGGGAAACACGGTGAGGCTAGGCAGGATAACTGCTCTGAGAAGCAGGGTGAGGTGAGGTAGGACGGTCCTGCAGCGAGGCTATGCAGACTACATGCTGCTTCTGTAAGGAGGGGTTTTTGATGGAGTCTAACAAAGTGAGGAAGCTGCCATTTCTCTGGGGACACGATGAGAGCAAAGCAGGATCAGTCTTAAATTGTGGCTCCCATCAATCTCACCATGACATTTGTTCTCTTAATGTTTAGCCTCTTCAGTTAATGTGCTTTGGGTGACTGCCTCATCCCATAGGGAAATCCCTGCTCCTTGCCAGTTATTCCCAGTTGTGCCAAATTTTGCACATTCTAGTGTCACCCCCAAATCTGCAGCGCTGTAGCTACTCTCTCTCTGTAGTTCTCAGTTATGAAACAGTGTGTAACTGATGTAGGACAGCTGTCAGAAACAAATAAAGGTGTTTATTGAAAGGACTAAACACTGGCACAGTTGGATTAATACTTTTTAAAATAATGTCCATTTAGCCTGTGGTACTCATTGCCAGAAGATGTCTATGAGGCTAAAAGCTTAGCAGGCTTCAGAACAGGACAGGACATTTCTATGGATAACAAGAAGATTTAGAATAGCAAGGATTAAAATAACCAAGAGCTCTGGATGGGAGATAAACCCCAGTATTTCAGGCCATGAGCCAACCTCTGATTACTAGGGGACAGAAAGAAGTCTCCCTGGGGGCAGTTTGTCCCAAAACTCCAGGGTTTCTTGAATCTTCCTTTGAAGCAGCCAGTACTGGCCACTGGAATAGTGGACTAGGCAGACCACTTGTGTGATCCAATGTGGCAATTCCTAAAGATTGGGGAGGGTGGCGGGAGAAAAACCTATTAGTCCATATTTCCTTGTGCCAGGATTGTTCCCCATCCTTTGTCCTCTGCTGCCAGGGGTTAGGATGGGATCAGTTTCTGTAGCAGATTTTCCAATACTAGGATGATATGGTCCAAAACCATAACCCTATTCGAGTGACTCCTCAAAACCAACTTTAATTTCTTTTTGCATAAAGACATTCCTCCCCAGTGTGCCTCAGCCCTGAGAAAGCAGCTAATGCCATGTGTTGTTGGAGCTGACGCTGCTGGCTTGCACCAATTCACTGAACAATTCCCTGGCTTTACTGTTCTTTCATTCTTGCTGCGCTAATTCCTTTGTGCTTCAGCAGCATGTAGCTTCAAATTCCCCCACAGGGTCATGCACAGCACATGCCCGGCATTGGCTGAGTTACTAAGCCATCAATCCTCCTTGGCTGGGGATCAGATTCAGTAGACAGGCATCATTAAATTTCAGCTGGGGTCAGAATTCTAGTTTCTCCTTTTGACATAGGAGCTGTGAGGCTGGTTTGCGTCCTCATTCCATTGTTGTGCGTGCTTAGATGTTGTGACAATGAGCTTAGTACAAATGCTTAGGTTTCATTCCAGTTCCTCTGACTGAGGCCCTGTTGTAAGGAAACTGACTCTTTGTTATCTGCTGAGCTTAGCTGGTGCGGTGGCTCCAACTCTATTAATGAGGCAGAGAAAACAACAGAGCCTGACAATAGCTATGTGGAAATGGTCACTAGTGAGACTTGGAACAAGTCAGAAGAAATTGCTGATGTAATGTATGAAGGAATCTGATGGGGCCCCTCTTCTGGGGCTGGAAGCAGTGTGTAGATTTCAGCATGGGGGCCGGTGCCAGGGGCACCAGTTAGTGGGGATGGGGAGTGGGGGGCTGGGGGGAGCCCCTCCCTGAGTTTCATACAGGAGGTGTGGGAGCTCCCAAGTGGAGCTCTTAACTCCAGCACAGAATTAGTGTGAAATGTAAGTTCTGCAGAGGAGAGGAGCCCCAGGGGAAGGGAGTCAGTATTTTGTTTACAAACAGATAAGAGACAAGAAAGGGCTGGTGATTAAATTAAGGATCTGGAAGTCTATCTTGTAAAACAGGAAGGGTGCGGTGGTGGAGTTGTTTTAGAGGGAACAGAAAAATATAACCAAGCCCTCTGAGCCAAGGTTATATTCAGAAAAGGAACGAGTACTTGTGGCACCTTAGAGACTAACAAATTTATT